CCCAGACTTACAAAATCAGGTCACATTCCAGAAGGAGCCCAGAAATCTGAATTTTAAACAAGCTTTCCAAATGAGGCACATTCAACTTTTAAAACCACTGAGGTACAAAATGAAAGGCTGAACAGTAGTAGTGATGTTATTAAATGGTCAGGTTATCTATGTTGTGAAAGTAGCTTTAAAAAATATGTGTGTGTACGTGGACAAAGACAGGCAGGGAGAACAGACAAATGAAAGTGATTGATTAGTAAGGGTGTTCAGAGTTTTAAAACTTTTGGTTTTTTGCTATGATAATATTTATATAAGAGCTTATTGAACAAGAAGTCTTTTTAGGAGCACTTGAATCAAATGACACATTACAATCATCACAAAGGTCTGACCCTGAGGGGTCCTTTGAACTTGACCACAGTATCTGCTTTCTTGGTCTCTGTCAGATGGTGTAGAATCCTGAGTCTTCCAAACCAGCTTAGTCTTGAAGCAAACGGCCCAAAGGAACTTCTGTAGCCTGAAAAAGGAAAGTGAGCCCCTGATCTGGCTTCACAAGACTTCCCAAGTCTTTTAGGTGCCAGCCTTCACAAAGCTCACCTTGTGTCTGCTCCTGGTATGAATGCTGAGATGTCTGGGCTCTGGCTGAGGAGGCCCCTCCTCTTGGTTTTCTTGTTAGCATTTTCCAGAAAGTGAAAACTACCTGTCCAAGATAACCTTAAACTGAAATAGAAATAACTCTCAGGCTAGAAATGCCAAGGTTGTACTAGAAGTTTCCAAAGCAGCACAACTCTTAGCTCTATGGCTGTGTCCCCACAGAGGTCCTAGTCTTTCTTCTTGAACTGTTCTGCTGGGGACCAGGGCAGGGTTAATCTGCAGGACTCCTGACTGGTTTTTCTGGTGGAGGCCAGTGAATTGCTTGCAAAGAGAAAGTTCTGGCTAGTAGGCCTCAGGGGTAGAGAGAGAGGCCTTCTCTAACCCTAGGAGTCAGGAAGTGCTCATTATAATACATAAAGGGACCCCCAGTGTTTTCTGGGCTGACTCAGAGAAGGACTATTTATTTCTCAGCCATGGCTTTCTGAATTGGCAAGCTGTTTGGAGCCAAGCAGGGAAAAGCAGATCCAGACAATCATGTGATGGAATTACACCTGCTGAGATAAAGAACAGTGTGGCTCCCCAAGTAAACATTCTTGCAGACTCTGCATTGCAAACTCTGGCTCAAGAGGTACTGGGCTAATTTGTCTTTGTCAACTAAAGGCAAATAAATGCAGGAGGGCAGAGCCTGGCAGCTTCTCCAGCTGCCTGATGATTTGAGGATCATTCTAACTATTTCTATCTCCCCCACCCCATACCTAAATAATAGGTATGTGTTCACTCTACTTACCAAGGAGCAAGGAAACACACAACTCTTTATTTTTCCAAATCAAGTGAAATCATGCTCTGGACTCTACCTGTGCCTGACGGGTGGGATCCCTGATATTGTTACTGAAGTTTCCTCTTCCCTGCTGTTGGGCAGTTCTAGAATTCAGGCCTACTTGGTAATGGAGATATAGGGCAGGGGTCTGAGTTAGTCAATAAAATCATTATTAATATTGCTTCTTTGTTATGCGATGCAGTTATTAGACTAAAAAATCCCCCCTCATGGTACCTACTTTGCCTGCATACTCTGGGGGCCCTTGCTCTTGTCTATGTTTTCAAGGTCATAGAGTTAGAGATTGTCCCTGAGGCATTAGTCGCGTGCTGAGTGGATGATGGTGGTGGAAGAAGTTTGAGGAGACTTTGGACCTTCCCCCTATAATCTGCATCAGCATCCTCATTCTTTGCTAAATATTTTCTCATTTTCATATATACAGCCATGTAAACAGCTTAGAGCATCCTCTTCTCCTCCTAGCCTTCAACCACATTGCTGCTCAAGACCCTCCTACAGAGACATGCCAGTGGCCTGACTGCCAGGCACCAATGGCTCCCCTAGGATCCTGTGTGGAAAAGGCCCAAGTCTCCACTATTTGAGGATGTCCTTGAATGTCCTCCCAGACTTAAAAAAAAAAAAAAAACTCAACTCTCTCTCACCCAAGAAACCCCAGCTTCTTTCCTCACATCCTCATTCTATCCTCTGAAGCACCTGTAGCTTATTTCCTTCTTGGGCTTGACCCCTGAATTATAGAGAAGCCTTTAGCTGCCAGTAACTCCCACACCAGATAAAATGAGGGACAAAGACCACTGAACACCAAGCCTTGGCTCACTGTGGTGTGAGGAGGCTAGTGAAGGGGAACTCACTCCCCCTCCCCTTTTTCTTTTTTTCTGACAGTAGAAAGGATAATAAGCCCTATTGAATTATCATTTGTCACCAGAGAGTCACTTCTTTGGGTGAAACATTGCTGCTACAAAGGATCCCATATTAGGATGTCCTTTTGGGAGAGCTACAAGTATGGTTAACATCTTACTGTGAACAGGTTCATCTGGTACTTCCTGATGTGGCAGGAGGGAGAACATGGATGGGGTTGGAGAAGCCCAGCTCTTCACCACTTTTACATAGTCAAAGCCAGCTGCTAGCAAGGTGGTTGAGTCTACCAAGTGAGGCTGACCAGGAAGGCTTCCTTCCTTATGTGGAAGATGAGCACGCTAGTTTTCTGTAGTTTGTTAGGGTGGCTAGTAAGTAGCAGAGTGGGGTGATTAGATCAGATATCAAACCACCTGGGAGTTATTGCTGTTTTATAAGAAACAAAGACTCAAAGGTCAAATTTAGAAAGAGCAGGTCATATATTTGGCAAAGGCACTGTAAGGGTGGCCTTAGCCTAAGCAACTCCATTTTAAAGAAATCTGCAGTCCCACCAGGCACCAGCCTACAGAGCCCTCCAGTATGCCATTAGGCATAGCCTGATAAAGACAACTCACTCTCCAAAATCCTGATAAAACTCAGAATGAAGTCACTGTCATTTGGTTTCGTCCTGATAAGAATCAGAGGTGTGAGATCAGGGTGGAAACCACCAAATCGCATATCCTGACCCTAGAATGAAAAACATCACTAATAAACCCGGTAACAGCTGATAGGGACTGAAATGGTGAGCAGAAGCACCAAAATTTAGTGTAAATGATGGAGCAAATGAGCAGACATTCAGCCAGCCAACACTGATGCCCACATGCCAGAGAGCCTGATGAGGACCTGGACTGACATCCCAATTTTTCTCATCATCTGCCTGATCCTCTGCATCATCCTCCCAGCTCTCAAACTCTACAGTCACATCTTGACCCTGGTGAGAACGGTGACTTCTCCTTATGACCCTCTCCTTAACCGGCCATCAGCTCAGGAGAAGACTCCATCAGTTCCTGACTTGATCACTGAGGTCTGAGTGAATGTGCATCTGCTGGACTTAAGGCCTAAGACTTGAGACTCTAGATCTGGCACTTGAGCTTAGCATGCAGAGGGAATGTCTGTCATGATTAAGTGTGTTTGCAGTGCTTAGGATTAACTTAGAATTGTTTGCTGTGAATTGATTATGTCTATTGCAGTGCCCAGCATTAAAGATTGTCATTTTCTTGATTAAGAACTTACAGAGTTGGGGCTGGGGTTGTGGCTCAGTGGTAGAGCACACACCTAGAATGAGTGAGGCACTGAGTTCGATCCACAGTACCATATAAAGATAAATAAATAAAGATATTGTGTCAATCTACAACTAAAACATATTTTTAAAAAGAAAAGAACCTATAGAGTGAAATTGTATTGAGTGATTTGAGTGAATAAAGCATTGAAAAGGGCATTAGTGCGTGGAAATTCTTCATTTCTCCCCTCAACTGCAGATGTCATACTTTTGCCTATCACCACAGGCACTAAGGATGTGACAGTGACACCCTTTGGTGCCAGTGGGGTAGAAGTTGGAAGCATCATTAAATTGACATGGTTGGGGACAAGTACTGTGACAAAGTTCTCCCTAGGAGAGCTAAGAACCATTAGGCAGATTTGGGGTTTCCTCTGGATCAACATTCTCTTCTGACTCTGGTTGAAATAATGAGTATTTACTTACTACCTATGTGGCTTATGTTTGTGCCTCAATGTTCTCTTCTCTAAAATGGGGATATTAACATATCTACTCAATAGGAACGTCACGGGGATCTGTTAGTATGTGTATTTAAGGCACTTAAAAGGGTGCTTGGCACAGAGCAAATGGTATATAAATGTTAACTACTATATTTATTGTTGTTGCTGTCAAAAGGAGCCAGGTGATGACCACAGAGACAGGAGCATCAGGCAAGCCTCTGGAGCTGAAACTAGAAAAAATTACAGCATTTGCACGGTTTCCCAGATTGCCTAAGGCTGCACATGAGATAATAGCTACAAAACACTCTGTGCTTCCCCCGGGAGGGGCAAAATATCCAGCTTCATCTCTAGAATACAAATGATAGAAACAATATATTACTCTGGGCACTGAGCCTATGTAGACCCTGCTCCTAGGTGGTTGACACACCCCTAATAGCCATGATTTGAGGGGTCTATACTCATCTCCTATGCCTCCAACTTCTGTACTTCCAGATTTGAAGTTGTGTAGTCCTGGAAAAGTTACTTCATCATCTGTAAAAGCGAAGGTAGTGACAGTACCATCTTTATACAGCATTTGAGAATCAAATGAAATAGTGTTTGTAATGGTTGGACAAAGAGTCTGGGATCCTCTGAACACTCGGGAACCAGTAATGATGGTGGTTTTTACTCAATTTTTTTTTTTTTTTTGCAGAGCTAGGATTGAACATACCAAGCAAGCGCTCTACAACTGAACAGGCCTGAGTACTCAATATAATGTTTCATAATAAAAATAATGAAATATATAAAAACTTTCAAAAACTAATACAATGAACACCTTTATATACATAATTCAGGTTAAAAAATTGTTTTATCTATGGCTTTGTCAATTTTTCTTTTGCTGTTATTAGTGGTGTGTGTGTGTGTGTGCTGTTGTTTTACCATTGTGTAAATGCATATATTTTCTCCTTAATAATTTGAAAGTAAGCTGCAAGTATCACGACATTTCACACCTAAATACTTCAGCATGTAGCTTCTCTTAAATAATCATAATACCATTACCACATCTAAAATACCTGACAATGGTTTTTTAATGTTATTTAATATTGAGTCCATATTTAAATTTCTTTAGTTGATCCCCAAATGTCTTTTATTTCTGTTTTTTCCAATTAGGAACCAATCATAGTTCATGCATGTACTGTGTTTCTGTCTCTTTAAAGGCTTTAAATCTAGAATAATTTCCCTGTCTTTGTCTGTTTCGTATTGCTATAATAGGATATCTGTGACTGGAAGATTTATAAAGCAAAATGGTTTATTTGGCTTACAGTTTGGGAGGCTGAGAAGTCCAAGAGCGTCATGCCAGCCCCTCCTTGCTTCTGGTGAGGCCTTGGTGCTGCATCCTAACAGGGTGAAAAAGCAGAGGGCCAGTGAGAGTGTGTGGATAAAGCAAAACAGGAGGTATGGCCTTGCTTTATAGTGACTCATTCTTCCCACCATGAATCCAGTCCTGGGAGAACCATATTAATTCCTCTTTAACAACCTAACTGCCTCTTAAAAGTCCCTACCACCTCTCAACTCTGTTACATTGGGAATCAAATTCCAACACTAACTTCAAAGGGGACAAACCATATCCACACTGTAACACTTCCCATCCTTTTAGGGGCACTGACCTCTGAAGCAACAAGGCCTTCTGTCTTCTAGAGTTTCACTTTCTGGATTTGACTTGTGATGGTGTTTTCAGTGAAGTTTTGAAGAAGGATAAAAAACCCTGGAACTTGAGCTGGAGCCCCTGGGCTGTCCCAAGGCACAGACCTACTGCCTAGAGGGTGTGAGGGAGGAAGGAAACTCAAAAAGAAGGTTCGCTCCTTTTTTTTTGATGTTGTTGTTGTTGTTTATTGTAGTAAAAAATAAATAAATAAATAAACATACATATATAAAACATAAGAGTTATCATTTTAACCATTCTTTTTTTTTTCCCCCCCTTTGGTACTGGGGATTGAACTCAGGGGCACTCAACCACTGAGCCACACCCCCAGCCCTATTTTGTATTTTATTTAGAGACAGGGTCTCACTGAGTTGCTTAGTGCTTCACCTTTGCTGAGGCTGGCTTTGAACTTGTGGTCTTCCTGCCTCAGCCTCCCGAGCCACTGAGATTACAGGCATGTGCCACCTCGCCTGGCTTTAACCATTCTTGACTGTGTACAGTTCAATGGCTTTAGGTACATTTATAGTGTGACCATCAGCATCATCCTTCTACAGAAATTTTCATCTTTCCAAGCCGAAACACTGAACCTGTTCAACACTAACTTCCCATTTTCCCTTCCCCTTAGTGCCTGGCAACCACCATTCTACTTTCTGTCTTTATGAATTTTCCTCCTCTAAGAATATCATGTAAGGAATTATCCATTACTTTGTCCTTTTTGGATGGCTTCATTCATTAACAGAATGTTTTTGAGATTCATCCATGTGGTTGCATGGTCAGCATTTCCTGCATTTTAAGGCTGAATAATATTCCATTATATGTATAGAATATACCTTATTTATAATACGTTCATCTGTTGGTGGACACTTGGGCTGCTTCCACCTTTGGGCTATTGTGAATAATGCTACTATGAACATAGGTGTACAATTATCTGATTACATCCCTGCAAGGCACACTAATTTTTACATTTTGTTCTGGGATTAGAATTCATGCAGCCTTTAATAACAGGTAATTTTAGAAATAATGTTTTTAATCTGGTTTTCTTCCCATTATTCTCTCCCTTTAACCAAAAGTCTAATAAAACTACTCCTTTAATCTTGACATCATCTGGAGCATACAGTCATCTATACCAAAAAGAGAAACTTGGGCACTTCTCAGAGTAAGCGTTTCTGCACTGTTAATGTGGTAAGTATATTGATTATAATATCAAAATGTGAGAAGCTGAAAGATCCAAGCTTTTAAAGTCAATAAATGCCAGTGATGCCATTTTAAATCAAACTGAAGGGATTTTTAACCTATTAGGCTCCCATACTTCAGAGGACAGATATTAAATGCATTTATTCTGATATCCTAAGTTAACATGTGTGGTTTATATCTAGCAACCCAAAAAGTATGAGACGAAGCAAGCAAAGTAGAACAAGTTCTGAAATAATATAGCTCTACTGATAACCATGTGACTTAGGGCAAAGCCCCAGATTTATTGTGTTTTAGTTTTTATTTCTGTCAAATGGGAGGAGGCTTCTTGTCCTCAAGTGCTGTGGTTCTCTGAGCTCAATGCTAATTCTTTTTTTTTTTTTTGCAAGCATAAATAACAGGGTGTGGAAATGAGAAAGCCCTAAAGTTGAGTTCGAGCTTCTTCATAAATCAATTGGGTAAACTTGGGCAGATCCTTAATTTTATGAGACCATATTTTTTTCAAAATTTTCCCTGCAAAATGGGGATGATAAACATTGCAAAGCAGTGGTAAAGATTATAAATAAGAAATATGATGGAAGGGCTTTGAGACCTTTAAGGTGAAGTAGGGTCACATGAGAGTAATGACATGAGGGATTTTAAATTGTAAAGAGCTCCACAAATGTAAGGGATTACCCTAGACCTTACATTGACACCTACAGGACTAAATTACTATATAGTCCGAAGTAGGGATACTAATGTTATTGACTCATACTAACTGAATTTTTTACATTAAAAATGAATTATAGTCTGGTACAGTGGTGTATGCCTATGATCCCAGCAACTCAGGAGACTAGACTGAGGCAGGAGGATTGCAAGTTTGTGGCCAGCCTCAGAAACTTAGCAAGGCCCTCAGCAACTTAGTGAGAGTGTCTCAAAGCAAAAAATAAAAAGGGGTGGGGATGTAGCCCAGTAGTATAGCACCATTAGGTTCAATTATCAGCATCAAAAAATAAATAAATAAATTATAAATCCTGTTCCCTTCTCCCCAAGAATCCGCTCTCTATTGGCCCTTGGTATTTCCTTAAATTGTTTTGTATGTTGTGATGGGCCCTTCCCCATTCCAACTTTGTAAACTTTCAACAGCTGTTTGAAATGCTTTTCTTATTTCACTCCAGAACTTGTTGCAGCATATCTTGTTTCAACAACCCTTTAGCCTGCCAATGGAGCTTTGGTTTTGCCAGTTGCAATGACTCTAAAGCTCTTTGTCAGTTCTTTTTAGTCTTGGAACACTTGATCAGCCAGTTGGGTTACATGTTACTTTAACCACTGAAGAGCGGATTCCCAGGCTTTGCCATGTTATACAATCTAAAATTTAATTAAGATTATTTTAACAAGTGTTCCTTGCCAGAGCTTCAAATAGTCCCTGTCAACATTTGTTCACTCTTCTATTTACAATCAATACAACACTTTCTTCTAAGGAACTCACTGTGTTTCCAGTTCAAAGAGGGACTCTGAGGAAAAGAGCACAGGAATAGATGAGTTCAGAATTGTACCAATGGCCCCCTGGATTACACTGCCTTGGGGTTAAGGATGGCTTGCTCTGCTGAATCATTAGTATATGTAAGAATCACATGGAGTTCGTAATAAGTGCAGGTTTCTGGGCCCTGACCTAGATATTCCCTGATTAAGAAGTTCTTGAGTGTGTCGTCCAGGTCAGGACATACTACCTTGGCATTATTAAACTATTTAAGTTTAAGGAGTTGGAGAAATGACATACACAGGAAAGACTTTTATGACTCTCCCCAGAAGCAGATCATAAGACCTTCTCGTGAGATGTGCCCTCCCTATGACTGGAGGAAGGAGCATCTGACCTCTGATGATGAAGGGACAAAGAGAGGAGCCTGAATGGTGTGTCCCCTACTCCACTCCACATAGCTCAAACACTTTTGTCCTATCACATGTCTCCACCACTCTTCATTCTTCATCATAAAACACTCAAGATTAACTTCTTTAGGTCTTTATTTTTTTGCGAAAGCTGAATTTATATAATTTCATATCATATAAAATTACATTAAATAAATTTGTCTGGGCTGGGGATATAGCTCAGTGGCAGAGCACTTGCCTAACATACACATAAGACTTGGGTTCAATCCCCAGTGCTGTGAAAAAAAAAATCAAAATAAATTTGTATGCTTTTGTTAATCTGTCTTTTGTTACAGAAGCCCCAGATAACTCAGAGGGGTAAAGAAGAAAAAGATATTTTTTCTTCCCCTGAAGTGGATATAAATTTTTTAGCATGTTCCTCCGGTGATTCTAATGCAGGGATTCCATGGTTTTAGAAACCTAGTAAACAAAGAACTGATTTTCCCATTATTTTAAGCAAGATGGCTTTGGACAAGCCACCTACCCTGTGCTTCAGTGTCTACATTTATGTCTTTGAAAATAGCAACTGCCCTCCCAACCTCACAGGTTTGAAATAGAAGTAAAATGATAACAGATCCAAACTATTTTGAAAGGTAAAGAGCTCATGCCAATGCATATCCCAGCTGGCAGCCCACCTTCCCAAGACTTGCAGGTGTTTACTTGAGGAAGGGCAGGCTTACCAACCTGCTTTTGGTCTGTTTCCTCCAGACAGGTTCATCTGGGTTTATTCCTTCCCAATCGAGTGCTCCGAGACCACACACATTTCTGTCTGACATTGTGCCAAAACAAAATCAGGAATGACCTTCCTAATAGGCTACATTTCCTTGAAATCTAGGTACATCTGCATCATTAATGATCCCATTAACTTCATGTTCCACAATATCACATCATTCCTGGGCCACATCTGATTGCACTTGCATCTTCCCTGCGAACCAAGGCATACCCCTGAGGGTTTGCTGTGCAAACCACTCCTCATGCTTTGGCTTTGTTTCCTGCTATTGTGTATACCTTTTTGAAGTTTAGAGTCATCAACTTCACATTAATTGTTTCTCCCTCCCTCTATTCTAATCCCTTTGGCAAGAACCTATTCCAAGGCAGTCTACCCATTTTGGCCACTTTCACCATGAAACAAAATAATGAGAGTACTATTTCCTGGAGCAAATAGACCAAAAGCAGGTCACATTGCCTTTGTCTTTTAGATATATTGAGCAGACTTCCTGTAAGGCCCTCAACTGCTTGTGGCTTCATTAAACATTCTGCTGTTTCTGATGAGTATGTGAGTAATTGCAGTTGCATTGCTCCCCAAGAGAAAAGAGGACATGATTCCTGTCCTAAGGCCTCACAAAGTCTTCCTGCTCTCTCTCTCTCTCTCTCTCTCTCTCTCTCTCTCTCTCTCTGTGTCTCTCTCTCTCTTTCACTTTTATTCATTCAAAAATAATAATGATATTGATGATTTTTTTTATTGTGATGCTGGGGATCCAAGCCAGGGCTTTGTTTACACTAAGCAAGCACTCTACCACTGTGTTGTGCCTCCTCCCCTGCAACCCAACAAATAATTATTGATCACTTCATATGTGCCAAATATTAGAGAAAGAGTTTCTACCCCCATGGAGTTCATGTTCTAATAGGAAAGACAGTAAATAAGTAAACAAGAAAATTTAAGGTTACAGTAAATTTTATGAAGAAAATGGAAAACACTATAGTGTTTTGTAGAGTGAGGCAGAGAAATTGCTATTCTATTATTATTTTTTTTTTTTTAGTTTTCGGCGGACACAACATCTTTGTTTGTATGTGGTGCTGAGAATCGAACCCGGGCCACACGCATGCCAGGTGAGCGCGCTACCACTCGAGCCACATCCCCAGCCCTGTGAAATTGCTATTCTAGACTAGGTATTCAGGAAAGGAAGTGATATCTGAACTGACACCCAAGGATTCAGCCTTGGAAAGATTGGACATTGGAAAGCTGTTAACACAAGCTTTTCCTCATGGTTTCTGTGTTTTTTTGCACAGAAAAGGAAACCATACCCTTATGCTCTTATCACATGACATTATTCTATGTTATTGCCAGGATATATATACCAAAGTCCATTAGAATGAGTCTCCAGAAAGTACAAGGGGAAGGCCTGAATAATTAATATATGAGGAGGGTAGGAAAGTGGCATCTCATTAAGCAAATAACTTCTTATCTTTTCTTTTTTTTTTTTTAAAAAAAAAGACCTTTGGGGCTGGGGTTGTAGCTCAGCGGTAGAGTGCTCACCTAGCACGTGCGAGGGCCTGGGTTTGATCCTCAGCACCACAAAAAAAAATAAATAAAATAAAGGTATTGTGTTTAACTGCAACTAAAAATAAATAAATAAAGAGCCTCATGGGTGATATCCCCAGTAGGATAAGATCTGCATTACTTCATACCCATCAATCATACAGGAATGCCTTATGAGGTCTAACCAGGCAAGAGACAGAGTGGGGCTGGGAAGGGTTTGGAATCTGTAGGGGTCCTCCCAGTGCTGAGCAAACCACCTTCCATTTGTTACTCTGGGTCCCACTTGGAAGAATTGAAATGGGAGAAATGAATGGAAAGGAAAATCCTAGAAAGCTTTGTGGACTAATTCAGTGAATTTTTAGAATAATAAAGTATCCCAAATAAATCATGAGGTTCTCAGGAGAGTCAGTTTCCTAGAATTATAATCTAAGAAGGTAATCCAGGAACTGAGAAAAAATCAGATATACATTCCAATCTTTAGCAATGTAAATCTCTAAAAGAACTCTACAGGGCATCATCAGAGTCTTCACTTGAAGGACACTTCTTAAATTCCCCATAATCTGCATCCAATGGAGTTTTACCACCAAATTTTCCAAATTGTCCCCAATACCCAGGACATATATTTATTATTTTTCTTTGTTCACTCTCTCCCTTCCTCCCACCTTCTAATCCCAGTTTTTCTTTCTCTCCCAACTCTTTCTCATCAAAGCTTGCAAACTCATTTGGAAAAGAAATTATCCTTAGAACACTGCTGTTTGGTGACAATATACTGTAAGCTGCGTATGTAATTTTAGGTTTTCTTGTAGCCACATATTTAAAAGTAAAATGAAATTAATTTTAATAATATATTTGATCCAATAGTCTCCAAATACTATTATTTTAACTGTTGATTGATCTAAACTTACAAGCTAAAAAAGTAGAAAGGAGTTTATTTGGTGTTTTAGGAGTTGGAGTTCAGGAGGCACAAGTTCAGATAGTTTTGAATTAGTGTTCTGAAGAAGGCAAGGAAGCTTGGAGACCTGTACTAAGCAAACAATGTTGATTTATTCAAGGGAGAAAAATTTGTTTGTGGGAAACTGTTATAGTTGAGAACAGGTGCTGTATGCCATGGATTATGGGATCAATAGGAGATAAAGAAAAGAATGTATATAGTGAAAATATCCATTAAACAAGAGTCTAGTAACCTCTTGATATGCATCAAAAGTTGCTGGGCACAGTATAATTATTCCAGATGCCTGAACTTAATAACCAAAGTTCACATGTCTAGAAAGCTGTTGGAATTGGGCGGTAAGTACTGCTTCCTAATAGCTTCCTGATTTCATTTTGAAAAGTTCTTTTGATGCTTTCAGAATGATTTTCTTTTTTTTTTTTTAATTTTTAGCTGTTGATGGATTTTTATTTTTTATTTATTTATATGTGGTGCTGAGAATTGCCTCACACATGCTAGGCAAGCACTCTACCCTTGAGCCACAACCCTGATTTTCCTTTTATTTTCACACATTAATGAAAATTTATTGAGATATTTTATATTTTTCATACTATATCTTTGAAATCTAGCATGTATTTTACATGTATAGCACATCTTACAATAAACTAAGAACATTTCAAGTGCCTAATAGTCCCATGTAGCTAGTGGTTAACACTTGGACAGTGAAGCCTCATAGGGTAGGTAAATGGCAAGGGAGGAGGAAAGGCAGTGTGGGGACGTAGTCTGATTCATGAAGTTTTCACAAGTTAGTGTAATGGTGAAATGATAAGAATAAGGACAATGTGCTGAGTTTTTCTTCGAGGCAAATGTATTCAATTTTATATTTTGAGATTATATCTGCCAAAGTGAAATGGTCCTCTTAGAAATAATCATTTTATGAAATGATAATCATAATTGATGGTAGTCTTATTCTTCTGAATGCCTTCTTTTAATGTGGCTAAATAAAAAGATCATAACTACAGTGCTTCTCCCACTAAAAAAAAAGTTTTACTGGACCATGAAATCCAAATGACAGGAAGCCACTGCTTTATAGCACACAGAGTCTACATTAGCCTATTTAATCACCACAGCTATATGATATATTGAATTTTTTGTTATGAACTTGTAGGGGAGGGAAAAAAAAATTTTTTTTCACTGCCATCCTAGGTTCTCCAGTTTGAGCCCTGGAAATTAAATTGACAAAAGATGAGATGGACTCACAAGAGGAAAGCAAACAGCATTTATTAACATGTGCACTGTGTACACATGGGGCGAAACTCCAGGATGAGTAATTCAAAGGGCGTGGTTGGAACTTAAGCTTATATAGCATCTGAACAAAGAAGGATATGTAGAGGAGTGACAAGACAAAGGAAAAGGAGCTATAGTCTTTAAGGGGCAACAAACTGTGGGAAGGTTAATATGTGAGGGAAACTAATATAAGGGTTGTTTTGGTAAGATTTGTTATATAGATTCCTCTTAGTGCCAGCTCTAAACTTGAGACAGTAAGAGTCTAACCCTTTTAGGCAAATGGCAGGGTGAAGAGAGAGATCTGTGGGCTACTTCTCAGTTGTCTTCAGCTCAAAATGGTCCTTATGACCAAAGTGGTATGTGTGAGATAGCATGTTCTGATCTCCTACCAGCAATCGCACTTTCGGAAAGGTTGCGAGTACAGTATACAGAACTTTTCCCCAAAAGACTATTTAGAGTGAATAGTTTTGATCTGATGTCCTATCACACCCAAAATGTTAGTGTGTATTTCCTGCATTAAGGATACAACCTTGGGGCTGGGGTTGTGGCTCAGCGGCAGAGCGCTTGCCTCTCACATATGAGGCACTGGGTTCGATCATCAGCACCACATAAAAATGAATAAACAAAATAAAGATATTGTGTCCATGTGTAGCTAAAAAATATTTTTTAAAAAATTATACAACCTACAAAAAACATAAAATAACTATTAAAAATTTAGGAAATTAACCCTGATGCATACTCTCATCCAATACTTCGATCCCACTCAAGTTTTGACACTTTTTTTAATAATGTCTTTAGCCTCCTTCCTTTGGGCTAGAAGAATTGCTCCGTCTTTTTGACTTACATGAAAAATTATTTTAAAAATTACAGATCAATGACTTCCGAGTTAGTATTTAGTGGAGAGTTACTGAAACTGCAAATATCCTATTCCTCATCAAACTTTTAACTTATGTATTTTGATCTCCAATTGGTGGTTGGTTTTGTCAGTAGGTGTCCCTTCAAACTGCCTCCCAAGTATTTACAGGTTCATTTTGTCCCTTTTCTGTCCCACTCCAGTAAACAGTCATTTCTCCAAGGAGCTCTGATGGACAATTTTAGGAGTCAAATTCCGGGTGCTAGGTGTACTCATTACTATTAATACATTTCTACTTCCATTTTCTCTTGGTTGGCAGAGTTAAGGAATATATGTGTGTATGAACAAATAAACATACACTCACATATTTATTAATTTTTCTATTTATATTTTCTATATTGGAAATTGTGAATTCACAGTGATATTTCCAATTCTAACTGAGCATCAAGGAGTACATATTAGTTTTTTCTCTTTCTGTATGTGTATCCCTTCTGGGGAATGGAAGCCTGGCCTATTGTTTGCTTTTTTTGTGTGTGTGTGTGTGGTGCTGGAGATTGAACCCAGGGCCTTGTGCATGCAAGGTGGGGGGGGGGGGACTTTTTTCACTGTCCTCCTAGGTTCTCCAGTTTAAGCCCTGGAAATTAAACTGACAAAAGACGGAATCACAAGAAGAAAGCAAACAGGGTTTATTAACATGTGCACTATGTACACATGGGGCCGAAACTCCAGGAGGAGTAATTCAAAGGGAGTGGTTGGAACTTAGGCTTATGAAGCATCTACCAACTGAGCTATACTTCCAGCCCCCCTGCCTATTATATATAATTTATTTATACATTTGATCATTCCCCCATATGTATCCAAACTTCTGTTTCCACTACTGCCTCCTTCCATGCACAAATTCTTTTCTTTTCCCACTTGAGTTCTGAGCCTTATACTATGTACTTCTCCTCATGGGACTTTTCTGTTTTCTAATCCTTAAAATAAATTTTAATTTCTATAATCATGTTTTCTATTTCTTTTTTTAGAAGTAACTTACTCTTCCTTTCACTTTTTTTTTTTTTTTTTTGGTGGAGCCGGGGATTGAACCCAGGGCCTTGTGCATGTTAGATAAGCACTCTACCAACTGAGCTACATCCCCAGCCCTTCTTTTACTTTTTAATAGATTGCTGTTCTTGTTTCGTGAAACAATTCTTTTCTTATTTTTATAATGGTAATAATTCTAGTTTGTTCAGTTCTCTTCTGCTTCCATTATTATTTCTGGTTCTTCTAAATTCCTTTATACTGTTAGTTTTGGCCTTTGTCTTTCTTGTTGAAGGCTTTTCTTACATTCCTGGTGGTACTTAGCCTTGTGTTCCTGCATAAGAATGAGGCACTAACTAGAATATGGGGTGGAGGATAGAGATGCCAGATAAAATATAGATAACAGGTTAAATGTGAATTTCAGATAAATAATAAATAACTTTTTACTATAAGTATATCCCAAATATTGCATGGAACATTACTTATACGAAGTAATTATCCCTTGTTTATCCAAATTTAAAATTTATACAGGCATTCTTTGCTTTTCTTTGTTAAATTTGGTTACCCTAGGAGGGATGTTAGTCAAATAGTGATTTCCTTAAGGGTAATTTTATGAGCCCCCAGTTTTTCTCAGACTTAATTTTCTCAGAGATAAATCCTTGAATTTTCCCTTTGGGGCTATAAACCCAGCTACTAATGTGCCACAAGCCAATGGTGGGAA